GGTTAGACACTAAACGTTTGACAAGTTGGAGCTGGAGAGATGGCTCAGAGGTTAAGAGCACTGGCAGCTCTTCTAGAGGTCCTAAATTCAATTCCCAGCACCCACATGGTGGCTCACAACTATCTGTAATGAGCTCTGGTGCCCTCTTCTGGCCTGCAGGCATATATGCAAACAAAACACTGTAGATACAATACATCTTTTTAAACAACTGACATGTTCAGAACTAAGTGGTAGTGCACTTGCCAGGTAGAGACAGCAGGATCTCTGTGAGTTCCAGACTAGCCAGGGCTACATGGTGAGACCCTGTGTCCAAAAGCTGTAGTAATAATAAAAAGAAAGGAAGAAAAGAAAAAGGAGATTTGGCAAGTCCAAACCAAAGTGTAATGGGAGCATAAAATATGCCTGGGACCTCTCCAAAGGTTGGGTGCTTTGTCAGGGCTTATATTAATTAAGTACGTATTAGAGAGATAACATTCTGAGTTAGAGTAACAAGCATGAGGTTAACCTCACGTCCGTCTTTTCTTGACTTACACACTTAGCTCACAGCCCTGTTCCAGAAGGAAGGATGCAGGGAGTGGCACAAACACTGACTTAAGGAGGGACGAGGCCTGTATTTCAACCTGAACTATGATGTGCTAAGCAAACACACCATTTCATGACAGAGGGAAGAGTGATTTAGAAAGGAGGCCATGAAGCCTGGGATCGCTGAGACTAAAGGGGCCTCCCAGCTTCAGGGTGGAAAGGGACGGAGGCAGTAGCAGAAGAGACCCGAGACAGAGCTGCCGTCCCAGTAGGAAGGTGAAAGCAGAAGCACACTGGCTAACAGCTAACAGCTGAGGTTCACAGCTCCATTCAGACCCAGGTCACCAGTTTCTTGGTGCTGCTGCTGTTGCTGTTCCCCAAAACTAACGATGCCGGGCCCCAGGGATGAGAACCACAGGGCAGCACAGAGGTGAACGGCAGCTAAAAGGCCGGGCACTTCTGGCCGGATGACTTCAGATGCCCTCCCACCTTTCTCTCTTGTGTGTGCGTGCGTGTTAGGTACATGTTTATATGGATATGTGTGCACATGTGTGTTGAAACTAGACATCATTATTGGATGTCTTCAATTACTGTCCACCTTTAATGTGTGTGTTAGTGTGGATGCGTTTGTGTGCCTGTGCAAGTGCACGGAGGCCAGAGGCGGACAGAGTGTGATCTGCTCTGGCACACTCCACCTTATTCCCATGAGACAGGGCCTCTCACTGACCCTGGAACTAGGCGAGCAGCTAGCAAGCCCAGCTGTCCTGTCCCTGTGCCCAGCTGGGTTTTAGGTGATCACACAAGCTTTTTATGCAGATGCTGGCCATAGAAGGTCCTCAACACTTGCTTAGAAAGAGCCTACAACTTACAAGCTGTCTCTCCAACCATGGCTCCTTTCTGAGCCTGGAGCTCTTTAATCAGAGAGTGTGGCTGGTGAGCACCTGTCTTCTCTCTGGCAGTGCTGGGGTTACAGGCACATGCTGGCACTCCTAGCTTGTATTTGAGTCCTGAGGATTTGAACCCAAGTCCTCATGCTTGTACAACAAGCCTTCACTCAGCAAGCCGCTCTGCAGCCCTGCCCACCCCGCTGTCTCCCCGTCTCCAGTGGAAATTACAAGTGGATGGGGACTTGGGCATCAGGCCGAGGAACTACTAATGTGTTAGAGGTACTTAGGGAACGTTTGCCAAAAAAGCTGATGAGTGGGCCAGGAGGCCGATTCTGACTCAGCACTCCAGAGGCTGAGGCGGGTGGATCTCTGTGAGTTCCAGGTCAGCCAGACCTACCTAATGAGATCAGTCTCAAAAATCAAACTAAAACAAAACAAAAAGACCCAAGGCAAACAAGGAACTGATGAATATATGCTGTGTCCAATCCTTGGGGAGCAGGCTCTTTTTCTGTGTCCCCCACAGAGCATGGAGCCCCTGAGGCCAAGGGTCATACCCACTGGAACAGTTCTTTTAGGTTCTGCTCTGGGAATCCTGGTACTTTGAAAACCCTCCACACCCACTCTAACCTTCCTCAAGGGAGAGGTCCGAGCAACTGGGGGGCGTGAGCCAGAGATGGTGAGCATCCTTGAAGAAAGGAAAGGCAAGAATTCAGCTTTAGGGAAAGGCAGGCCAGTCAATCCTTGTAACCCCGGGAATGGAAGGAGCCAGCAGTCACATTCCTTTTGGGTTGTTTAGAGTTATCTGTCAAGGCAGGATGGCTACCATGCTGCTTCCCTAGCTCAATGTACTAAGTTTTCCATAGCATACAGTCCTGGGAAGTTTACAAGGGTGCCTGCCTGGACTCTCAGCAACACCTGCCATATGAATAGTGGGTGCAGGGAGGGGTGGAGAAGAAGGCACCCACCAAGGGTTGATGGCCAGAGCGTGCACTGCAGGAGACAAAACGGAACTACCAGATAGGGAGTGCTGAAGCCCGGCCCAAGGGGAGGCTCACTGGCTTATAGAAAGTTTAGTACAGAGTCCATGTGACCCCAGAAAGAGAGGAATAGAGGGGCAGAGATGAAGAGTTACCAAAGAACTTTGCTGGGCTTGGCAAAAACAAACAAAAATCAAAATCCCCTAAAGCTTGGGGCGGGACTCGGCAGACGGTGAGAGCGCCTCATCTCAGTTCACACGTCCATCTTTCCGGTGCCCTGACAACTGCGTGTGGCTGTTTGATAGGGTCTTATAAACACGGAAGTCCCTGAGAGAGGGTTTCCAGAAGACCCTCCATGTTTGGAACTAGGATGTGCTGCGTGGAGCAGCAACAGCCTTCCTGTGACCACGAGGCAACCAAACAAGCACAAAGGTCAAAACCGCAAGTTTGGCAGAGCAGAAAATGCGTAGAGTTTGAATCTTCGAATTGTCCTGCTAGCCTAGCACTATTTTGTTTTCTTTTTTAGAGACAGGGCTTAGCTATGTAGTTCAGAATGCCCTTAATCTCTCAATAGAGTGGGTTGGGATGGCAGGCATGAACCACCATGATTGGCTCCCTGGAGTTGCCATCCCAGGAGACACAAAAACCAGTGTGCTAAAACTGGTTTTAAAATCCTACCAACCCAGGAATCTTCTTTCTGCTGATCATGGTTTCCAAGTACAAACCTCCCCCAGAACTGCTCTGGAATGTGTACCCGAGTGAAGACTTCTGCTTCAGGCCCAGGCTGAACCTATACTGTGCCTACCGCAGACGCACTCAACAATCCACTGAGACAAAGGGGTAACAGATCCAGCCAGGACGGCTGCTGGAGGGGCAAGCAGGAAAGTGAGTCGAGGAAGGAAGTTTCTAGATGACATAATGGCTTCCACATTGTTCCTGCTCCCCTATAGCCCCTCTGCATTGAAGGAGGGGAATGAACCATTTCCCACTGCAGTGAAGGACATTTGGGGACAAGAACGGAGGCTTCTTTGCTTAACACCTACAAAGGTGTCTGACCACTTTGTCACAAGAACTCTGATGTCCTCAGGGGTCACCAGTCCTACTCTCCTCTGCCCTTCAGCCTCCTGCTCTTCCAGATGTTCCTCCACACCTACCTCAGGGACTCTGTACACCTCTTCCTGCAAGGTTCTGCGTCTACCCTGAGAGCATGGACACACTCCCTCTTCCTAGAAGGCCACCTGACGCCTGGTGACGTGACCCTGCCAAGTGACCCGAGGAGCCCACTCTGATGCCCAATGACCCTGCCAAGGGGCCCTCTGAAGCCTGGTGACCCTGTCGAGGGGCCCTCTGATGCCTGGTGACCCTGCTGAGGGGCCCTCTGATGCCTGGTGACCCTGCTGAGGGGCCCACTCTGACGCCTGGTGACCCTGCTGAGGGGCCCTCTGACGCCTGGTGACCCTGCTGAGGGGCCCACTCTGACGCCTGGTAATACGACCCTGCCAAGGAGCCCACTCTGATGCCCGGGGACCCTGCCAGTTTGTGTGTTTGATACTCATTTTTCACCCTAGACCCTCAGTAACCGAGAACAGGAAATGTCTGTCTAATATTAGTACAGCACAAAAAGGCAATAAGAAAAGAACCATGCTGAAAGACTAAATAAATGAGGGACACTCAACGTAGGAAACTGCAGTGCTGGGGAATGGACCCCGGGTTTGGGGCACACCAGGCCAGCTCTCTACTCCTGAATCACAACCCAGGACCTAAACTAGATTTGCCATTTCAGGGTGCTACAGTCTGGGGACTGAATTTAAGTGTATCCCTATGATTTACGGAGCTAACATAAAAAATACAGATCCTTTCCTGTAACCCAAATATTCACTGCAGCGTTCAGAACTGGTGATAGTGGCACAAAAACTATGGCAAAGCCATTGTGGAGTAATCTTTGTGTGCACTGTGGATGTGGCTCTGCCAAAGCGCCTTCCAATAGCTAGGCAGGAGGAGGTAGGCGGGCCTTCCAAGAAGAGATGAGTCTAGGTACAGGAAGACCCAGAGGAGGTGGAGAGGAAGCAGGAGGTACAGGATGGATGAGACAAAACATAGATGAATATAAATGGGTTAATTTAAGTTATAGGATCTAGTGGGACAAACCTAAGCTATAGGCCAAGATTTCATAATTAATAATAAGTCATGTGATTTTTGTGAGCTGGCGGCTCAAAGAAAAATCTGTCTACAGAGAGCCACTGTGCTCTGGCCACTGTTCTGTGTGGATTAACTATGTTGTTCTGGTTGTTTTAAGACAGGGTCTCAGTATGAAGCCCTGGCTGGCCTGGAACTCACCAAGAGCTGCCCCTACTTTAATTCCAAATGGTAGAACTAAAGGCACATGCCACCACTCCTAACCAAACTTTGTTCTTCTACCAAGGAGCTGCCTTTATGATCCTCACTGTACGGACAAGAAACAGATTCAGAGCATTGAATCAAGTGTCTACAGTTACAAAGCACAGACGCTTTGAGTCTTCCAGGCCCTCTTAGTGAACTGCCCCAGGCTGACCTCAGTCGCGGGCCCCACCCCTCCCCAAATGCTCGAGGCCCCATTGCCCGAGTCTGCGCTGACCCTGCCTTGAGCTGTGTGAGAGCCTCCTCCACTCGCGGCTGGTTGTAGCGCACCATGTAACTGTGCATGTCAGGGTAGTTGCTGCGGATATTCTTCTCCGTGGACCCGTTGGGCACCGTCCCAAACTTCAGGGGTGGGTATTGCTCTTGGGGCCTCTGGAACTGAACAGAAGGGGGAATTGTTAAGGTACCCTCTAGGAAACTCCCAAATCCAATGTCCCATTCTGGAGAGCCAGCCCTTAGTTTGCTGGCTCTGGAGTGGGCCAAGCAGTCTATTCAGAAATAGCCCTGTGTGTAAGCACAGATGTAGGCACAGGGGTGTGCTGGCTCAGAGTGCTGACAGAACCACACTCCCCTTGCTATATGTAAGGCATGACCAACATATTCTGTTTATTCTGCTACTCTACCTTTATTCCACTGAAAACAATGCTCAATGCAACCTCTCCCATCTACCCCCAACCCCCCAACAGTGTCCCTCACGGCTGCTATCCCTGTGTACTGTGTACTGTGGCTGGCACCACACGGCAAGAGCACAAGCCCAGAGGGTGGGCATTTTGAGTGTTTTGATGGAATGGTTTTATGCGTGTTGAATCTAATTAGTAAAAATCTGGAGTTGACTTGACTGCTGTTCTTATCTGAGACAGGGACTCACTAGTAGTCAGCCTGTCCTTGAACTCTGGAGGGCAGTGATTACAGGCCTGCATCATTAGCCTGAAAATGACTCCTGTATGTCTGATGCTGTGTTATTTCTACATTTCTAGTAACTCATCGCCGGTGTATTTTACTCAAGCAGCACAGTCTCCAGTGGATCAGCTGTGTCACAATGGAGTATTCACTGCAATGTGAGAGGCATTGCTGCTCCTGGGACACTGGAGGGACACCCTCTTTCCCCAGGACCGTTTAAATCATTCATCTTCTCTCTACTGCTCTGGAATCCTTCTTGGGCAGCCTCCCAGGAGCCCCTCTGTTCTGGGACAGGTGACAAGCCAGCTGGGCCTACCCCATCCCTGTACACACCTTTCGGTCACTGAGCCCAGACACGGTGTCCACATACTCCTCCTGGATCATGAAGGCAGCCAGATTGGCTGTATAGCTGGCAAGGAAGATGACAGCAAAGAAGGCCCACACAAGAACCATGATCTTGCTGGTGGTGCCCCGCGGATTCTCCACTGGCACGGAGTTGTTGAACACCAGGGCCCACAGCAGCCAGATGGATTTCCCAATGGTGAAGGTCGAGCCACCAGGGCCTGTGGGGGCCAGGATAGGAAGGGACCTCACAGTCCTTCCACTCCCCAGGAGAGGAGAGAGGACTGCCATTCTTAGCTCTATTCCAGGGGCTACTGGGAAATATAGTTCTGCGTAGGGTCAGGCAGGAAGGGGACTCACGTTTGCCCGTGGCCAGGCTGCGGTTATAGCCCACAGGACTGAGGTACTCAAAGATGAAAACGGTGACGGCAACCACGGTGAGGCACATGACGAACATCATCACCCACACAGCGGGGCTGTAGGGCTCTGGGGACACGGGAGGTGTCAGCCAAGCAAGGGCTTGGGGGAGCAGGTGGAGCCCGGTCGACTCCATCCTGCTCTGTTCCCTTCTCTGGTGCCCACTTCATGGACAGCCTATCAGTACACACACTCCTTACGGGAATCTTTCCCAAGAGCTACCGTGACCATTTCTGTGGCTCTCACCCCCTAATCTAGCTGTCTCCTAGATGCTCCCTGAGCCCAGGGTCTGAATCTTCACCTCTTAGCTTCCCCTCGGGCTGTTCTGCCACCCCAGGCTCTGCATCTGGGCACCCATGACAACCCAGCCCCAGGCCACACACCTTGCCATCCATCTTTCTTGGTCATAGATGACAAATTTTGCTCCTCAAGCTCCTTGGGCCTGTCCTCCCCACCCCCATGGCCAGCAAGGAACAAGTCCGGTCCCCAAGGGAAAGGATCTTTCTCCTTTGGTCTTCTCTCTCTCTCTGAGGAGCCTTGCTTAGACGGCCAGAGCAAAGGGGGAACGGAAGTGACCTGCTAGCCTTGTTCTCTTCCCCACGTCTGTTGTCTCCAGAGATGGTGTTTCTACACAAGGTACCACAATATGGCTTCCAGATCACCCCAAACCTGCATCCATCCGACCTTCCAGAGATGGTGTTTCTACACAATGTATCACAATGTGGCTATGAAGATCACCCCAAACCCACATCCATCCGATGCCCCCCATGCCTCTGCACATCTTCATCCTTTGTGTCAGGGGTCACTGCGGTAGCCCCCACCCCTGCCAGCTTCCTGCTCCCACAGGGCTATCAACTCACAGCTGAGCACATATCCTCATTACCTTCTGAAGTTAAACCCTTGCCACCACAGAAAGAATAAAGCCCAAACTTAGTATTAGAGTCCCAGTCCAGCCAGATACACCACCCCCTCAGCCTTCTGGCCACCCCTTCACCCGGCTCCTCACCAGCCACATAGGCCAGCCGCAGTCTCAGGCAGTCCGCCATGCTGGTTGCTGCCTGCCTCCAATGGTCTTTTTTTCAAATCTTTACAAAGGTGAAATTCCTTCCTCAAAAAGGCCTCTCTCTCCTACTCACATCAAACTCTACCCTGTGCCTCTCTCTCTCCCCACATCAGCCTGAATTCTCATGGTATCTGTTATCGTTGGAACTGTCTAGTCTGTATCCCCTAAGGAGGCAGGTGGCTCCTAGGAGGTAAGAATTTGTCTGTCTTAGTCACCATGGTCCTCCAGATCTCAGATCCAATCTCCAGCACTGGAAAAACACTAAACAAACAAACAAACAAAATCCCTCCTCATTTTTGAGCCTGGCTATACCTGGCCTTGGAAGGCTTTTTTTTTTTTTTTTAGAGAAATCCTTGAGTTCAGGAGACAGAGATATAAGAGTGGTTGCATGTTCAAGGCCAACCTAAGCTACATAGTAAGTCCACATCTCAAAAAAACAGAAACAAAAATCTCCCTGGTGGTGGTTGTGCATGCTTTTAATCCCAGCATTTGGGAGGCAGAAATGAGTGTATATCTGTGAGTTTGAGGTCAGCAAACTTGCTTATAGAACAAGTTCTAGGACAGTCAGAGCTACACAAGAGAAACTCGTGTGGGGTTTACTGGGCTGGAGAGATGACTTATTGGTTAAGAGCACTGGCGGTTTTTCCAGAGGACCCAGGTTCAATTCCCAGCACCCACATGGCAGCTCACACCTGTCTGTAACTCTAGCTCTAGGGGATGTGGCACCCTTACACAGTCATACATGCAGGGAAAACACCAATGCATATAAAACAAAAATAAACCTTGAAGTAAAATGAAACAAAACAAAAAATCTGGTTGGGTGTGGTGGGGCACACCTTTAATCCCAGCACTCAGAAAGCAGAGACAGGTGGATCACTCCGAGTTCTGAGTTCTTGTACAGCCAGAACTAGATAGAGAGGCCCTATCTGGAAAACAAAACAAAACAAAACAAAACACCCAAACCAAACCAAAGGCCCTGTCTGGAAAACAAAACAAAACAAAACAAAAAACCCAAACCAAACCAAAGTAAACAAAAGTCAAACAACCACTGAGTGCAAATCCAGGATCAGAGCTGTGGCCGGCTCTGCAAGGCCGGCTCCTGAGCTCACGCTGGCCGAGCTTCCTGCTGAGATTCCTGCCAGGGAAAGGATTTCTCCCACTGTTCGGATCAGGAACCGGAAGCTTGGAAGTGAGGGTCCTTCATGGGGGTCAGACACCAGTGCAGGGAACCCTGGGACAGGACCCAGGGCCCACACTGTTTGAGGCAGTTGTCCTAGCCTTGGCTAAGTGTGAATCCCTGTCCTGGCTGGCTCACCGAGGAAGGCAGAGGGGGACACAGTGCCATTGCTGCGTGCCACCATGACGCTGATGCCTGTCTCTACAAAGGGGACGGAGAAGTCCACGATCTCGGACCGCTCCTCATTGATGGTAAGAGAGCCGATGGCCATGTCCGCACGCTGATAGAACACCTGGGGTGGATCGAGGAGTTGGCAAGGGAAGCAGCTCAGGGGACAGAGGCCAGCGCTGGGCAAAGCCTGACCCTGGGAGACAGTGATGATGTGGGAGACAGGCTAGGAGGTCTGGCTGATGAGTGAGGAGGGGAACAGAGGGGCAGGGGAAGTAAGGGAGAGAGAGCAGAAGCAGGAGCAGGGCTCCTCTACCCACCCACGTCCGCTTCACTTGCTTAAGTTTAGGGATCCAGCCTTCCCACCTGCCCCCTTCTTGGAGTTCCACCCTCCAAAAGCCCTTCCCATGAATTCTGTCCTCCCACCCCCACTTCCCAGGCGCTCCACCCTTCTAGTCCTTTCTCCCAGGTCCCTTCTGGCGCTCTCAGAACTTGCAGTTCTCTTGGCTCTACCTCTGAAGATGCCCTCAGCCCTCAGCCCACCTCAGGCTGCACCCTTAGCAAGCCCAGTTCCCTTGGCCACGCCCCCGCTCCCTAGGATCCTCAGATTCCTCGCCCACAGGCTCTGGCCCGCCTCTTACCTCACCAATCATGCCGTTCCAGACTCCATCGATCTTCTTGCCATGCTTGCCATTGGTGACCAGGTAGAGGTCATAGCTGAAGCCAATGGTGTGCGCCAGCCTCTTCAGAATGTCAATGCAGAAGCCCTTGCAGCACCGCTTCTCCGGGCGGGGAGCGTCAGGCGGAGGGCTGCGGGGAGCGAGCAGGCTTGGCGAGGTTGGGGACCACTGTTAGGCTCTCCCATGAGATGAAGGACAAGCAGCAGCTAAAACTACGGCTTGTGCCTTTTTGGGAGACTGAAGCATCCCCCAGGTCACCCAGCCGGAGGGCCGAGGAGCTGGGGCCTGACCCGCTGTACCTCTGGGGGAAGAGGAAGCTGAACCAGCTGGATCTGGGGCTGTCACCTGTGGGTACGGTTGAGCTGGGTCCGGCAGGGGACTGAGTCTCTGATGCAAGTGCCGCTGATGGGGTCCGCTGGCTCCACAATGACAAAAGGTCTCTCCTCCAGTGTGGCCACGGTGAGGTGCTGTGTGTCATCCACTGGCTGCAGAAAGCGGCCATAGCGGGACCATAGTGGGTACTTGAGGCGGAGGGTCTGTTGTTCCCAGCTGCCCACCTTGGGGAAGAAAAAACAAAAACAAAAACAAAAAAAGTCATGCTTCCTGGGGGCATTCCAGGGTGTCCTGGCTTTTCTGGGCTGTGGGTTCCATCTTCCTCCAGAACCCAGATTCCTCACTCCTTCCTCCTTCAGACCAGAACCTGGGCCTTCAATTATGACTTTCGATAGGACCTCAGAGTCTAGACCTGTCTCTCCTCCCTCAGATCTGGTGTCCAGGACCAGCCCTCCTCGCTTAGATCCAGGGATCCAAGTGCCCTCCCACAGATGCCTGGAGTCTGGGCCACTCACCACTTCCCACGTCCTGTCCCTGGTAAGGGAGATGACCACCAGTGAAGGGTTCACCAGAAAGCCATCTTCATTGAAGGAGTAGTCTCGGTTATCCCAGGTGATGTTCATGAAGTACCTGCCCAGGAGAAAGGGAGGATCCACTGGGTGCTGAGGGCTGAGCCTCTTTTCTCTCGCCAGCCCTAGTTGCCAGGCCCCAGGACCAGGCCCCACACTCTTAGCCTGGCGCTGACACCTTCGAGTCCTTGAATGCCATGGTTTCACCTTTCCTGAAATTCCCTGTCTGGTGGCTTCCCACCTGGCAACTCTGAACAGCACTAAATGCGGTGTCACTTGGAACATGGGGAGCGTTTACTGCCGCCAGGCCTTTGTGAGGGTTGTGCTGTTCCTGTAGAACTTTCTCTCATCTTGACCAGCTCCGATGCTGTGCATACTCAGCTCAAGTGCCTTCTCCTGGGAGGAAGCTCCCTGGGAATCTCTGGGCTCCCTGAGAATCTCTGGGCTCCTGAACATCTTCCCTGTGCTGAGTACAGCAGCTCCCTGGGAATCCCTGGGCTCCTGAATATCTTCCCTGTGCTGAGTACAGCGAGCTCTCACACCATCTCTCATCGGCTGCTCCCGCTGTCCTCCAGCCAGGCTACCAGTTTGCAAATCCCATTCTTCCTTACCCACCCTTCTCCACCCCCTATAGTCCTGGACCCTCCCCTAGGTCTCCGGCTTGGCTTTCCAGTCTGTATCTCACTCCAGAGAAGTCTTTCTACACCTAAAGCTGATTCTATGCCAGTCCTAACCTCCAGAGCCTGCCTTTGGCTTGCAGAATCCCAGAATAGAGTCTTAAGCCTTACAATTGTGCACACAGGGCAAAGCTTTGGTCCCACCCACCTTCCTGACCTCATCACCCCTCATCTGTTATGTGCTATGGCAGCTCTGTGTTTGCCTGTCCCCCCCCCCCCTTGGGTCTTTCTATGTGTTTCGATCATGCTTGGAATGAATGTTCTCCATATCTGGTGAAGCAGCAGAACATCCTTTGATTGATGCTGGCCTGAAGGCCCTGCCTGTCTCCTTGGGGCCATTCTATCCCAGCCACACAGATGACTGAAGCCTGGCAGCCCTTGCGGACTTGCTCTTCCCTCTGTTTACTCAGATCTTCCAGTGCTCAGCTCCATCTATGTACAATGATTTTAAAGAAACATGTGTATGTGTGTGTGCCTGAGTGAACTTATTGTTCCACATGTGTACAGGGGCCCATTGAGGCCAGAAGAGAGTATTGCAACCCCAGGAACTCTGTGTGTGTGTGTGTGTGGCTGTGAGCTACCCAATGTGGGTGCTGGGACCTCTGCAAGAGCAGCAAGTGCTCTTAACTGCTAAGCTATCTCTCCAGCTCCTCCTCCATCTGTATCAGTTTAACCTTGAAGCTTTACCTACCTGATATGATCTAACCCCCTAGACCTTTTGTCTCACACACCCCCAATTTATTCTCATCTCAGAGGCTGTCACCTGAGGGCAGCTCTCTTTCCTTGGCTGTTCCCTCCTTGTCGCCCTCCTCAGACTGTTGCTCTGTGAAAGCAGAGGATTGTTTCAGCAGTTCTGTGAGCCAGGGTCTGTCTTTCTGTCTGTCCATCTCTCTGTATATGCCGCTCATACATATGAATGTAGATGTAGATGTCCATTTCTTTGGCTGGCCTGGAACTCACTACCGAGACCATGCCAGTCTTGAACTCAGGGCTCTCCTGAATGCTGGGATTAAAGGAGTAAACCACCACACCCAACTCGGGTTCTTTTGAGCCAAAGCGGTGCTTGTCCATAGACTCTCAGTAGGGGTTTCCCAGTGGATGGACGTTTGGCTGGTCGTTGATACCTAGGTCTCAGTTTAGAATTCTCTCCTCCAGGAAGCCTCCCTGACACTGTAGCTTACCCCACAGTTGTGCGGCCTGTTATTGGGAGGCTGCTTGTCACTAACCAGTTTTCTCTTGGGATGCTGTTCTACAGCAAGCCCTGTAGGTTCTAAAGTTATGAGGAAGGAGAAATTATGGATTAAGATCTGAACAGAGGCTGGGAAAGGTAAGCCTGTGTGTGTGTGTGTGTGTGTGTGTGTGTGTGTGTGTGTGCGCGCAGAATCAGAAAGACAAGTCAAGAGATGAAAGAGAGGCTGGCCCGGACTTGGCCTCGATTCCTGAAGTCTGTTCTGTGCATGTTTATCTTTCCAATGAACCCTCTTTCTCCTCTTTCTCCTGGGGAAATTTAAACGAGACTGCTTTTTGCAACCAAAACTGTCCTGGTTGGGCAGGATTCCTCCCCCATGTCCCCTACGGCTGCTGCCATCTCCATTACTGCCAGCCTCACACTGTGTGGCCATTATTCCCATCCCTGTATGTCACCTCTTTAGGCCCTTGCAGTCTTTGAAGAAGTCTGTGGTCTTATTCATCCCTGTGTTCTCAGGGCCCAGCATGAGCCCTAGTTCCTAGCAGGCGCTCAGTGTTTACGATCACAGGATCCTTCTCTCACCCTCTTGTTCTGGGGTCCTGGTTCCCAACCCAGCTGTCCATTCTCCTCCCTTAGGTCCTCTTCTGCACCCACCACCTCCTCCTAAGCTCAGCCGGGCTCTGGATTAATGGTCTTCCTTCTGCCAAAGTTTTCCATGGTAGAGATGCTGTCGCACCCAGTAAGCTGGACCCACGGCCACAATATGGGTGGACACACCCAGCACTTTGCAGCCACATGCAGGGGTGCTATTAAAATAACTGTCAGCACCAATCCATCAGAATGGGAGTCTAGCCAATCAGCAGAGATGTTTACGCAGAATAGCTAAGCCTTGAACAATCAGTATGTCAGTGTTTTCAGTAATAATTTGTGAGACCTATACCCTCTCCATTACTCCAAGTTGCTGGCTCTTTGCCACATCCTTTCTCCTTCTCTAGACTGGGCTCATTCTGCCATGCCTACAACCCAACTTCTACTGTGCAAAGAATAGATAAACAGGATTACCACATGGAGCCTCTCTCCTGACAACCAGGACTCATCTCTGGGAAGTTACAAGACAGAGAAAGAATGTCTGCCTTGCACAGGTAACTCGATCATTGGGTCTTTTTGTCACTGAGACTTATCTCATGATTTTTTTAAAAATCCGGTTCAAGTTGCTATCAATTGTCACTGTTTTTACTTACAAAACAAACAAGCCCAGAAGCACTGCCAATTCAAACATTATAACTGGTCTATTATAAGACATATTTTGATTTCAAGGACATTAAAATATAAAAGAAAATGGATATTTCTGTTTTAGATATTTTAGGCTTGTTTCTTGCCCCTGTCTTCAGAGTGCTGGGATGGTAAGTCTATACTTCCACACTGAACTAAATTCATACATTTCTGTTTTGAGACAGTGTTTCATGCAGCCCAGGCAGACTCGCAGACAAGGATGACGCAGAACCACTGAGTCTCCTGCCTCCACTCCTGAAATGCCTGGAATTCCAGTCTTTTGCCACCATGCCCAGCCATATTCATGAAATAATGGAAACCAACCCTTTGTAAAACAGATCACCTGGCTGACCCCCAGAAAGGCCGCTCAGATTCCCGCAGAAAAGGAAGTGATAGCCGGGATGAGCTCCAACCGGGCCGCTCATTACAGAGTGCTCCAAACATCCCCAATCACCTGTGCAGACTCTCCCCACGGTGGGTGCGATTCTGGGCGCGGCAATCATGACCCAGTTCAGGCAGGAAGCCATAGTCTCGCAGCAGGGCTTGGGCACCTCTGGCCACCACCGCCACACCAGCAGCCACTCGACGTGCCAAGTCGTCACGCCAGCCAGCAGAGCGCACTGCAAACAGCCCTGCAGGCAGTGGGGCACCTCCTGGCAGAAGAAGGGGTTCCCCAGGGACCCCGGAGCCCCCGCCTCCGGCCAGCTGAGGTCCCACCATGAACCAGACATAGCCAGGCCCAGTGAGGCCAGCCTCTTCTGCTGCCCGGAAAACAGGCTCTGCCTCCTCGCGGGCGCAGAAGAGCAGGCGGATCTGCGCGCTGACACTCCGGAGCTGTGCGCCCAGGACGGCTTCACCAGCCCCGGGATCCAGTGTCAGCGCTCCTCGATGCTCCCAGCCCACCAGGCTGCCATCAGTCAGCACCTCGATGTATGACAAGAAGGCCCGATGGCCTGGGGCACGCGTGGTCACTGCCACAAAGGATGTCCAGTCGTACTCCTCCAGCACCTCAAAAATGACCTGCAGCTGCTGCTCTGTGGAGGAGCCGAGCTGCAGGAAGGTGGAGCCCTTCTCCTGTGGGGACAGGGAGACCAGTGAGCTGACCACAGTTGCCTGAGCCAGTGCACCACAGCTTTCGCCATGGCTGCTTACCAGGCCTGGCTCCTTTTCCTTCTGTAGCCCTGGCTACAGATATATTCCTTCATATATTTAACCACATAACTGAGCTCTTCCAGACCCTCCTTAAAAAAACTCACCCTGAACCTTACTCTCCTGTCTGAGGGCAGCTGTAGAGACCTGGAGGAAAACTCTGAAGGCCTAGGGTCTCACAGTCACAGGAGGAATGGATACCTCCAGTCAGGATGCCCCCATTTGGAGTTTGTATGAGTGAGAAACAACCTACTGGGGTGAGCTGCTGAGGTTTGAGGGTTTATCTGTGGCAGTACATAATAGTACTACCATGAATTCACCCCGTATCTTCCCAGTATCCCCTGAGGCACTCTAGCCCAATTTGCAAAGAGCAGAACTACAATTCCCATCATGCAGTGAGGATGCTGAAGGGTACTCTTCCTTCCAAGTGGAATAGACTGACCCTTTCATTTCCCTCCTGCCCTTTTGGCCCCCATTTCTGTCTCCTTTTTTGGCCTCTATTCCTCAATCAGAACCCTAAACAATATAAGTGGTCTTTCTGGTGTTCCTTTCCTTTTCTGTTTACACTCCCTAGCAAGGTCATTAGTACCATGGCTTTCAGTATTGTCTCTAGCACTATCCAGCCCTGTGGCCACCAGCGATGTGTAGCTATTCAAATTAAACCGAAAAAAAAAAAAACAACTGTAGTTCCTCAGCTGTGCCGTGCGAGTGCTCGGCGGCCACCTGTGGCTCTGCAGCTGCTGCTGGATGGAGCAGACACAGTCCGGCTTCATCGCTGCAGGGAGCTCTGCTGCATGCCCAGGGCCCCATCTTTGGTCACAGCCATTCCTGTGAGCTCCAGACCTATCCCACTTTCTAGTCACCTTCTGCAAACCAGGGTTTCCACACGTGTCTCAGGAACCTGCCTGTCAAAAGCAGGTTTCTTGACTCTTTACAACACCCCCAATCCAGAGCCCCCCTCCATCCTTCCCTCTAGGATCTCACATAGCATCACATACAGAACAGAACCAACTCTGAACTCCTGCTCTTCTGCCTTCTCCTCTCCTCAGCACCACAGCACCACGGTGCTCTTGCCGAGACATCTGCAGCTCTCTGACACATTGCTGCATCCATTCTCATGTCTTCTAGTTTGTTCTCCAAGCAGAACCAAAGTGATCATTTCAGAATATTAATTGGAACACATCACTTCTCAATTGAAAACCTTCCAATAATTCTACTTTAGAATCAAAACCAAAGAAAGTACCCACTGTGGCCCAAGCACAAGGTCTGTCTGCGCTCATCTGCTGCTTCCCAGCTCTTCACTGGCTCCAGCCACTCTGCCTAGGTCTTTCTCACATACATGTTTCTTCTAAGCTTTGCCCTTAGCAGTTGTCCCTCCTGGGGACACATTCCGAGTTCTTCCACGCCTAGCGCCCTCTCATCATCCTTCAGGGCCAGCACAGACACCACCTCCTCAGGAGGCCTTTCTTGATTACCATCCATTGGAGCCTTAGCCTCAGTCATTAATGGTTCCCCCTAGGGCAGATTTCACTATTTGTGGCTTAGTTTGTTTTCTTCATTAGAGTGCAAATTCCATATGGCCCAACCTCCCTCAACTCAGATTTATAATCCTGAGCCTAAACAGGCCCAGGCCTCACAAGCCTTCCTGCAACCTCGCACAAACAGCCATCAGATTTCTCCTTTGGCATATGCCACTGGTTTGATGCTAGGCACAAGAAAGCTGTCCTGAGAAGAGGGGGCTTCCCAGCGTGCGGTGGAGACTCACGGAAGACCTCATCCCTCAGCAGGGCCTAGTGCTGGCATTCATTGTAGCATAGCTGGAGTAGTGAGGGTGACACCTTCTCCCACCCATGGACAGTGAGGGAATTATGCATCCCTAAAGGTGACAGGCTGCACAGAGTGGATAACTGTGTTCAGTGGGTCACACTCAGCAGCAACAGAGGCACAAGGGACCATGTGTGTCAGTGTTCCACGGAGGCAGCAGCCAGGCCTACAAATCAAGCCAAGAACAAGGATATTGGGCAGAGGCCTTTCCCACAATGTTTTGGACAGACCTTCGAGTCCTGGGATGCCATAGTGACCGGGCACACTGCCACTGGCCTTCCTAGCAAGGAACTGACTCATTTAGGCTCCACCCACTCAGGTGGCTCTGTCCTCCAGCCAATCCCATTTCTCTGTTTCACTTGCTCACCTCCAGTACCTTTCTTCTTAGGCTTCATCTTTCTCAGTCTGCAAACTAGGCTAGTCCAAGTCTCTTCTTTGGTACCAAATGCCCAGTACAACCTACTGTCCCCAGGTGTCTGGAGACAGGCCTCTCTTCAGGACACTGCCAGCACCGGTCTCCCCACTTCACTTCAGGTGTCTGTGTCTGGCTTCCCAATGCCTGGGCTCGTTCCTTTCTGTGTCCAGTTCAGGATCCTCATTTCCACACTTTTACAGTTTGACATGCTCCTTCTCAAAGCCTACTCCAAAGGCCTACTTCCTTTCTTGGCACACTCCTTTCATTACACTGCTTGGACCCGTCTAGCCTCAGCCCTCTCCACTGGATCCCTCTCTCCTTCCTTGAGCTAGTCTGCTCTTCATCACCCCACTTTTCAGAATGAATGGCTCTGCTCTCATTCCTAGGTGCCATGCTTTGGCTGAGCCATACACCATGCTCTCCTTGAGGACCTGATCCTCTTTCTTTATGATTCCCGTTCCTGCCTTTCTGGACACCACTTCCTCACCAGACTCTACCTCTTTCTGAACCTCATCCTTTCCAACTGACTCTTTCCCTTATTGGTCCAAGATCCATAATAGTCTCTGCCCCTGTCGCCTCTTACTAAAATCTATCTTTTCTACCACCGGTTCTTTCCCAGTTTTCACCTGTAACCCACCTCCTCCCTGTTTATCTGACCCTTGTAAGTGATCTCTGGAAGGTGCTGTGAACACTATAAAACACACCCGTCCAAGTTAGATTCCTCTCTGCCTAGACTTGACTCTTACCACCAACGTGGAAACTGACCAAAGGACGGCCCCGCCCCCAGTGACTGTCCCCGCCCTTATAAGCCCCCCAAACCTCGATGAAACCGGCTCTCAAGCTATCATAGGTCCCGCCTTTCAAAGCCTGCCTCTCAGAGTCTTGCCCTTCAGCCTCCCCTAGGCACTGCAACTCGACGAACGTTCCCACCCCAACTCAATCGAGACTATGCCCATTCCCGCCCCCAGTCGCAAGGCCCCGCCCCGCCCCCGCGGTCGCGCGCACCTTGGGCGTGAGCACGAGCGCGGCGCCGCCGTGCACGGCCACGATGGGCAGCGAAGTCTGCGCCGACAGGAAGTCG